TGAATTCTCCATGCTACCAGAATTTTATTTGTTAGGAATGTTTGAGGCAGAGACATTCAGAGACACCAATACTGAAAAACTATTTACTTTTTTTGCAACGGCAGCCAGAATAATCTTTGCTAAATGTTGGAAACAGGACTCGATTTCTTCAAGGACACAATAGTTGGATAAAATAATAAATATCAAGGATATGGACAAATTGACTTATTGGTTCAGGCAAAACAATGGGAAAGGGATGAAAGGGATGAGCTGAAAGGTAATGGAGGGATATATGAAAAAGAAATGTTAAATGAATATAAGACTGAAAAAGATTAACAGAAGCTTGGAGAGAAAATTTAATTTTAGACATAAATTCTCCCTTTCCTCTCTGTATATTTAAGAGGAAAGGGGAGAACATAACAAAAGTAAATGCAATGAAAGAAGAAGAACGGAAGTCAAAATTTTACTTGTATTTTTATTTTCCTTTTTTCTGTTTCCCTTTTTTGGATTTTCCTATTGTATTAGAGTTTGTTTAGTATGTGATGGATGGGGGATTAGAGGGGATCTGATGAATGTTGGCTGGTAGAATTCTATGTTAAGCTTCTTTTTTCTGCTTTTTATGCTTTATATTTCTTGGTATGTTGTATTCTCTATGTATAATAATCAATAAAAATCATTATAAAAAAGTGTTCAGGTTACCAATTGTGGTTTTATTGGCAGTGATACTGTTCCAATTCAAATACTCACCAGCTTTACACCAATACAATTGATGGCAATCTTATGTAAAAATTTGATTGTTGCTTAATGTTATAAGCTCTTTTCAGACTACACTGTTGCAGTAATGCTGTGTCATCTCAAAAATGGCTGAAATACATCTCCCATCATCTCCCCCACCCCGTCATCTGATCTGAGGGGACAGTATCAATCTTGTCACATGGCTGCCAGAATCGTCTTGTGTCGTTGGGGGGCTTGGGAAACCTGGTGCCTCACATTCTGCACCACCTAGCACCAGTTAAGGGTGATCCCATGGGGGAAGTTTTGACTGTGTGGTTCCCKCCCCCCCCCCCATTGCTTCTTATGACAACACAGGACAGCTCCCATGTTGCCTCAGCAATGGCATGCACCAGATCCACCCTCCATCACCCATGGAGTTGAACCAGTGTTGTTTGATGGAAGCCAGTGGGCTCTGCTGGTGATCTAGAGTGGAGTCAGAGTATGCTGCCAAAATCTGCCCTTTGTGATGAAGTCATGTTTTTCTAGAGAATGCCAAGTTAAGAAAATCTGCCTTGTGTATTTCCCGTTTCATTTTTGGGGGAACCTAACTGACTAAATCAAAAAGGCTTTGTTCTTCATACTAGACTGTGATCTTCTAGTGTGTATAAGAATACACCTTAAAATGTCAATGAGTTCTGAACTATGATAAGTGTGTGTGATATTAGAGGTGACATTTGCCATGTGAGACCAAGTTGACAATTTTGCTTGAGTGAGTTTTTTCATTGACTTTGCTTTCATTCTCCTATACAAGCTCCTTTTACGGGAAATGAATCTTCGGTTTGATGCCATGGGATAGCTTGAGGTGAAGAGGTAACTTCAAGGGAAAAAATGTTATGCAGGTTATAAGGTGAACACCATGCCAAGCTGTAATGAAATTAAAAGATATCTGGGGCAGGGGGGAACAAAGAATCCCACCGCTGCCACCAGTGTAGTAGAATTAAGGCATATCTGAGCAGGGGAGAACAAAGAATCCCACCTCTGCCACCAAAGCAAGGGATGAAAAGGTATTATAAATGACCGATGTTATTGGTAGTATTAGCCGCCACCACCTCAGCTTTATTGGTCTGAGGAACCAAAGGTGTGAATGTATTGTAGGTAAAGGTGTGTTTGCCCTGGGTATCTTCTATTGCTTCTTAACTAGCTGACTGGACTTTAAAAATGCTTGACAGACTGAGGCTTACACCAGCTAAAAGTGAACTAGAAAATGTTTATTGAGCTTTAAACAAACATCTACTCATAGAATGAGCGGTACAGAAGCGTAATTCAGTTGCAGAGACTTAGTTAAACAGTTAGTTCTACTGACCATAGAGCTTTTAAACCTGTGAGTTTCCTTAAACACACTGTTCTATTCTTAGAAACAGTATCTCTTAGAGAACAGACTCCTGTCTGTCTCACACACAGGGCAATAAGATATCTTTAAACTTCTCCTAAGTTTAATAAGACAAAGCTCTCTTTTACTGGTCCTCTTAACACAGTAAAACCCTAGCCTTTGTCTCAACCTTATTCCCTAACCCTAAGGCTCACTTTTAAAACTCTTCTTCCCTGTCAGAACTCTATCTAGCTTCCTCTCCTAAAATCCTATCCTTCTGTGTCTGATGTCAAGACACTTCTCTCTACCTGTCAAGAGCTGACAGCCACTTTCCCTCTCTCCACCGACTCCTCCCCTAATTGCTCTACCCAATCAGGAGTCGGCTTGACTCCTCCTCCAGCTTCTGCCTGTCTTCCAAGATGACAGCTACTGATATTCAGGCTTTGGCCTGGTCGCCTAAAAGGTAGATTTCACTACACAAGCCATTCCAAAAGTAATGGGAAGAATCCTGTCCTCTGATAAATTCTCTGAGGATACTCATTCAGGTTTTTTGGATCCATGAGGTATCTCAAAATGTCATTTAAATCTATAAAAGGAAGCCATATGTAATCCTGTGTGGGGTGTTTGTTTCTGCCTTTTCATTTGTTGTTTCATTCTGCGGACACAAATTGGTAACCCCCCCCCCCCCCACACACACACACACAGTTCAAAAATAAGCCTGAAAACTAAAGAAAGCATAAACTGTTACTATTTATTTGCTTTATTTTCAGCCCACATGCCACTTCTCATACGACCCGCTGAGCAATGCTGCATACTAGTATTTAAGTCTGAGTCCTGCCTGTTGGGTCAATAGGAGGATAAGAATGCCGTCCACCTTACCTGCTGCTTGCCATGCTCATCACCACTCTGCAGTCCTACCCCACCAGTGGTTTGTAGAGTACAGAGAAGAAATAGGAACCACTATAGGGCCCTGTCTCAACTCATCCGTGTATCCAATTAATGCTGGGAAGGGGCTGGAAGCATCATCCTTCAACTCCCAGCTTGCCATCATTTCAGAACTTCATCGTTCAGTGCAGTTGAATGATACCATGGTCATAAATGTTATAAGAAAAAAATAATAAGCCGTTGTTTTTACAGTCCCACTACCCTGACTATATTAAATATATAAGATTTGGAGTTTTATGTAACCATATTACTAACACACATATTTTCTGTAGACTTTGTCAAATAGATTTAAAACCATTTTAAAAACAATCCAGAATAATTTTAATAAGTAAAACAAACAAAAAGTATGATGAAATGTCTGAAAGAATTATCTTACTAATGTATCACTAATCTGGAAATAATTAGGAAACATTAGCAAAAAGCAACACAAAGCTAACTCATCACTATAAGAGAAACAAACAAAATAAAAATTGCCCTAGTGTTCCATGCTCGCAAATCCAGGTATGTGAAGAACAGCATTTCAAAAATTCATCAAAAGTTCATACTGAACACTTAAAGTCATAATGTTTCCAAAAATATTGCAGCAGTATATCCCCAGTGAAGAGAATGCTTATAGAACAAAGATAATCCATAATAACGTCAGAAATAAGTTGAAAATTATACAGTTACTTTGAATAAAAAATGAATTCAAAGAAAATGGATCAGGAGAATAGGAGAAAGTAATGGCTATGCAGCCAGAGGTTCTTTGTATCTGCTCGCTGGAAGTTGAATGGGTGTAGTTTGGAAAAAAGGGATGTGGAACAAAGAAAAATGATGCCCTGAAAAAATGATACACTGCAGCAAAGCACTTTCAGGAGGCTATTCACAGGTTTCACCATGCCATTGCTGAAAGGACATCATATGATAAATAGTTTTCACTGTTAATCAGCTGCTAATGTGAACCTCACACCTTGTGCAACCACATCCCATGTTCATAGCATTCTACAGGCAATTGACAATTTAGGGGAATATACAATTCATGATGGGGGCTGTGGTGGTGTAGTGGGTTACACTGCTAAGTTGCAGAACTTACTGACCAGAAGGTTGGTGGTTCGAATCTACGAACAGGATGACCTCCTGTTGTTAGCCCAGTTTCTGCCAATCTAGCAGTTTGAAAACATGCAAATGTGAGTAGATCAATAGGTGCCACTGCTGTGGGAAGGTAATGGCACTCCATGCAGTCACAATGGCTACATAACCTTGGAGGTGTCTAGGGACAAAAAGCTCTTCGGCTTATTAATGGAGATGAGCTCCAGCTCCCGGAGTTGGGCACAACTAGACTTCATATCAAGGGGAAACCTTGACCTTTAACTTACAATTCATGATAATTGGACTATTATACTCACACAACTGTTGTATTTATGTCACGTGGATGTTTTTTAGCAGTATGTTTTATTTTATCTGTTAATAAATGTGAAGGTCAGTTGTATATGTTACCTACCGATCATGCAGAGTAGAAATAATTCTAGTCAGTGACATGTCCACATGTGTATTGGTTAGTGTCCAAAATATTAATTTTAATTCTAAAAGGAGGTTTTGTGATTATTTGTGGGAGGGGGATATGAAGTCCTTAAAAATGTTCCAGATAGCTCAGAAATCCCCTGAAATACATTTTGGTTCTGCCAGAAAATGCTATTTAGGGGAGGGGGGTTGAAAACTCTGATGCTACCACAAACCTCAAAATAGATTTTGAATTATATCACCAAAAGAGAGAGAGAGAGATAAAGAGGGGGAGGGATTAATATGTTGTTGTTTTTTAATTTGCTGATTATGCTTAATACATCCTACGAGTGTTTCATTTCTAATGGCTTTCTTGTGGTGTGTTTGGCCCTGATAGCAGTTGGGTACAGCACATTTTTCTATCAAGTTCACGTATGAGTCTAAAATATATCAGCTGCTTAAATGCTCATGAGAGTTATATTTGATTAATTGTGTGGATTTTACTTGTTTTTAGTTTGGTGGCCACAAAAGAAACAGACAGCGCAAGATCTCGAAGCATGCCAATGTCCCCATCAGATTTCTTGGATAAATTAATGGGTAGAATGTCTGGCTACGATGCAAGAATCAGGCCAAATTTCAAAGGTAATTTCATCTTCCATATATTCATTTGAATACAGTGTTTTCATTCACATAAAGAGGTGTTTGTGTTATATTATTTTGAAAGCAAGAAAGTTAGCTAATAATTTGGGATGTGGCTTTGGTCTTTTACATTTCAGTATAAACCTTGTCAAAATTTCTGGTAACTTTCTGGAGCTACAGTTCAATTGGTGTAGAGCATTTTTACAGCAACATCGAAGCTAAAACATAAGCTGTTTGTTTTGTTTGAAAATGGTGTTCCCTCATGTAAGACAGTGAGGTATGTGAACCAAAATAATAAGCACCAAGGAATGCTGTATGTTTGTAGTGCCAAGCAGTTCTGTAGTATGCATATTACTAACGGCCAAACTAAATGTGACAGCTGTGTCACAGAGATCAGAGAAGGAGAGCAAACCAAGGTTGTTTTCCAACCTTCTGACCTTGCCCTAGTCTGTTTTCATCCAAACAGGAAGCTCAAATATAAAAGAATGTTAAGGAGCACAAAACATTAACAGATTTTATAGCATAAGCTTCAATTGGTATATTTAACTGTTACTGCTCTTATTATTCAGAAACTATCAGATCATTTCATTTTATTATTAAATTTCTTTTATTAATTATCTGGTAATTATTATTAGATTGGGATGTGCAAAATGAATATTTTCAATGTTGTCTTATGTTCTCATTTCAAGAGTATTCAGATTGGAACCATACCAAAACCATGGTTCTTTCTCTGCACAAAATTAGCATATGCTCAACTGTGTGTATGTTTCTATATGCATTTACTAAATGTGTGGGTTTTTTTTAAATCAAACATTCCTGTTGTTGCTTTGTGATATTGCTGACTGTAAGGTACATGTTTTTAGATGGAAGGTGTGGTAAAAGCCAATGGATGTTACAGCAATTAAAAATAATATTTATTCATTTTAAAGGCAATTAAGATTGGCACAGCATTTAAAAACAAAAAGATGTAACTTTTAAAACTAACTAATATTTATTTTAAAAACTGTCATTGAAACTTGCATTGGTCCAAGATGGCTTTTTCTTTGCTCAGGGATGTAAACCTGTGTTTGGACCATACCCTGTAAATATAAGCTCATATGGGATGTAATTCTTCACATTTTTTTCACAGAAGCAATGAATAATTTTAGCCACTTTTTCCCATTGCAAAAAAGCCTTCAAAACTGTGTAATCTTTGAAGGTTATTCTCTCTGAATATTCTACATGAAATACACACAAGGTTGATTCACTAAGAACACAGCATTTGCCCACCCAATTGGAAGAAAGAGAGGCTCATTTCATTCCTTCTCCTTCTGCACTGTGACAAGGAGTGTCACTTAGCTTCTTATCTTTTTTTCTCTTCTGCAAGGGCAAATAATGGTCACATTCTGTAGTCAACACTAGAGGCAACACAAAATCAAGGGATATAATTTATGTTACTCTTTTCTGAGCCAAACAGCTTTGTGTGAATTTTGCTTAGAATAAGTCCTGAACTGCAAATATTCATGTCAGTACTGGATTCTTGTTGTTAGGGTCTTTAGGAACTCAAGAAATAGGTGTTTGTTGTTTTTATCATTTTAAAAATATTCTTTCTAGTTCTAGATATTGTGTGATTGTTGTGCTTCACTGCCTTTCACCCTAAAATTTCCATATTGAAAAATTTATATTTAATACCAATTATGTATTATCTAAGGAAAGAATCCATTTATAGGATGTTTTCCTATGGTGGCTCACTAGATCTTTCCCCTAAAGCCAGGCATGTAACCAGGGGGGGGGGGCTTGAGGGGTTTCAGCCCCCCCCCCCCCGAAATTCTCGGTGGTCCGCGAGAAGGTCTTACTGGTATCTTATTTAAACTGTTATGCTTATTCATATCATGATCTGATCACCATGCTCAATATATCCCATATGCATAGGGGTATTGGGGTAACGATACAAAAGGTTTGCTAGGGCAGACCCTCTTTCACTCAGACTCAGCCCCCCCCCCCAAAAAAAACCAACAAAATCCTGGTTACGGGCCTGCCTAAAGCAGAGTTCTCAACTCATGGCCCTCCAGATGGTTGGTTCTACAGCTTGTCCAATCACCAGGAATTCTGGGAGTTTAAGTCCAAAGCACCTAGAGGGTCACAAGTTTGACACCACTGTCCTGAAGGGCAGAAAGAATGGAAAATTACAGTTTCAAAAATATTCTGAAAGTATATTGCAGAAATGAAAATTATTGCAAATGAATTTCTTAAATTGTATTTGAATAGGTAGTACAAAAATGTTTATTTAAAATTATTTATTAAAGTACTTGTTTAATAAATAAACAGATCTGATAGGCATTGGTAGAGCCTATCAGGTCTACCAAAGATATATACATTATGCCCCTTTTATCATTGAGGGATATATTCAAGATTCCCCATGCATGACTGAAACTGCAGATAGTACCAAAACCTAAATTTTCAGCCAGGAAGAGCCCATCCCTTTGCTCACCTGGTGTTGAGGGGAAGATGATGGAACTGATCGACTCACAACTTTCCTCTCATTGATGTTTGCACAGAGGTGGCCCAACATTGACATAGAATCACACTAGAGGACTGAGAGAGCCAGCCTGATTTCTCTTGAAAAAGCGTTCCACAAATGAGACGCCAATACAGAGAAAGCCAAGTCAGAGAATAAAAGTGGAGAGAAACAGCAGCAAAAAGAGTGTTTTGACATTCTGATTGTTAGCCCCATCTAAAAACTATGAGGATGAAAGAAAAGCAAGTAGTTCACATCTCCTCTGAAGAACATTATTTTCCCACCTATACCCAATTGTACATTTTTTATACTCTAGACAACTATATTTGTGTATAGATAAATGGTTGCAATGTGCCACATCGTTAAATCTTTCCTTCAGATGGTTGAGTTCAGCCAATAAGCTGTTTCTCACTTCCATGCAAATCTGAAAACCCAAATCTTTATAGTGAGGCAGGCGAATGTTTCCCAATCTGCAGAGCCACTTAGCAGATGATTTCACTTAAACAGCTTCCCAGGAAAGGGGAGCAATTTAATGCAGCCTCTATGGGCAGCTGTTCCTTATGTGCTGATCCCTCATGGCTAGATATTTTGCTTGATTGGGAAAAATAAAACTAGGTTGGTATCTAAGTGAACCTGCACAATTACATAAGTGAGTCTAATGGAACTTCCCTGATGTTGTGTTTGTAGCATCGTAATTGGTCTCTATCCTTCAACTCTACAGAACCCCAGATTTATTGCTTAAATTGTTTTCATTTACTAACCACTGTTATCCCATTAGCACATAAAACATCAGGTTCAATCAAAGGCAAAATGAGACAGCATAGAAGATAACTTCTGGCAAATAATGTTGGCAACAGAATCTCTCCCTTTTTTCTTTGAATCTTTTAAAGACCTCTGAAAAAAGATTAGTAAAAAGCTTACAGCTTAGCAGTTCATTTGGTGATTGGATTTGGGAGTTTATCATGGACACAATGCAATCACACCCATCTGGAAAGCCTAGTGGGTGGAAGAAAGCAGATGTTTAGTTGTCAGTGGGCCATAGCATACACCTTCTAAATATAAATAAGTTAGGAGCCTTAATTCATTCTTTATTAGAATTCAAAAAAGATGATCTAATCTAATCTAATTTGATCCTTCTTGCTCCTCTTTAGAATTTTACTTGTTTGATCTTCTGATTAATTATGCAATTTGAACTATGTCTTGTGTGAGAGGTGTGTATAAAAAACATGCACTTTCACTGAATTTTGCAGGTTTCAAATACTGTGAATACAAATTTTTACATTAACACAACCTTCTGAGTTTCTTGCTGTTTTCCTAACATTTTCTGATAAACAACAATAAATATCAAGTCAACATCTGTAAGAAAACCCCTGTTCCTATTTGAAATTTGACAAGACTCATCCCCTTAGTAGAGTTTACTATGCTTAGAAATGTGATCCAACTTTGCCATGAAAAAAGTTATAGGCAGTTCCATTAAAAAACACACAAAATAAAAAAACTACTGTATCTTTTTATCCAATAAATAGCAAGCTTTGTTATCTTGAAAGGTGTTAATTTGTATGGAGTTTTCATCTATTTCCACCAAGACATCAAAAAGTTATACTCATTTACCTAGTGATAACAAATACAAGGAGTGAAGTCTGGGACTTTTAGAAATATGATTCCAGGAATTCCAGGGAAGGTCTGATTTAAATGAGGACAATGTTATGTAGACTCATGCTGTTTTCCATATAATCAGAACAGGGTCTGAACCTAGATTTGTGCTCAACCTGAAACTAGGCTAATAAACAATGGTAGGTCTCCACCAGCGTGTCTCTACCAAAGCTCTTGAAATGGGAAATCTAAAAACCTGAAATGTGGCATGCAGACTAAGTCTGCATGTATATTTACCAAAATAATCCATTGAGCTGTGCTGTAAAGCTGTCCTGGCATATCATGGGAGTGTCAGCACAGTACTTTTGATGTCCTATTGACCAGTCAGACTGAAAACACTAAGCTTGTTTAGGTTCCGTTCAGAAAAACCTTAAAGTTGGAAAAACCTGCCAAATTTGGACTTTTGAACCAATTTTGAACCATGCAGGGAGGGGCAAATCTGAATTTGAACCACTTACCCATTGTTCGGAATTATTCTGTAATGTTTGGATGTCTCCCATGGTTATTTTGATTTTCAGAACCATTAAGCAACTTAGGTAAAGCCTAAACAAACAGTTTTAAAATCTCACGGTTTCCCTTCCCCGGCGAGTGGTGATGCAAAGAAGGATGAGGTGGGCATGGCTAAGCACAACCATTCTGAAGGCCATGCCCCCAATGAAAGAGATTGCGAAAGGTCCTGTAGTTTAACAGCACGGACTTATGCTTATGAGGTTGGCACACTCTCCCTGAGCCATGCTAGCCCTGTAGTAAAACCAAGTCAGAATTTATACTTCAATGGGAAGCCAGTTCTTCTTTTTCCTGTAGTGGGGTCGGTCTAGCCCCAATTCTCCCAAAACTTGAAGACATTCCTTCT